TGTGGCCCTCTTTTTCTTTAGCTTTTATATGTAAATCATTTTCTGTGACGGAGCAAGTTGGAAAAAAGTAGTATAGACTCTTGAGCAGGTGTTATACGGCTCACAGGACTCTAGCAAAGTTAAAAATATATTACAGTGAACTATCCATTTAATTTTCAGTTTCCAATATTCCTAGCTAGGGAATCAGCTGGAGGGAGGCCAAATTGAGTAAGTTTGCATTTGAAAAGCAAAACTGAATTTGTTGCCACCTAGAAGGCAGAGTAGAGGTTCGCATCTATTTAATGCTCCGTAACAGTTTTACCAAATTATGGGGAAAAATTAGCAAGAAAGTTTGGTGTTGTCAAAAGCCAAGTAAAAGCATTACATTACATTACATTTCTACCAAAAGAACTGCCACTCTCCTGGTACAAACCACAAACAAAAAAAGAGTTCACATTGTTTCTCTCAGACCAAAACCAGCAGTTCTGGGGAAAAAAAAACCCCAACGCCAACCAGGTAGAAGTGGCTCCTGTAGGACTTTCTACTGGGAAAATGAAAGCCTGTATATTTATTAGATTTACAAAAGGTTTCAATCTAGATTCTGACAGAATTTGAGGGCATCTATAAACATGGTAGGGACTCACCTTGACCATCCAAAAATATTCAGGTTAAATACACTCTGAATCTATAATGGCCTTAATTATATACTGCACATTCAGGAGTGAGGGAAGAGAAATCAAATTAACCATAACCTCAAACAATTAAAATAGTAAATGTAACTGAAAAATAGAACATACAACAGCATAAAAAAACTACCTGAACCTATCAGCCCATAAAAATAGTGCAGTTAAGGCAGCTTCTGTAGCCATGACCAGACAAAGGAGTGACAGAACCAGCATCACATCTGGCCACCTGTCCCTCCCTCACCCAAATAACCAGGTACCCAATTCACATCTAGCTGGGTCAATTGAGGGAGGCTTTTAACACAAATCTTAAGCGTTCAAACTCGCACCTCTGCAGCCTGACAATCTCTGCCACTGCAACCCAACACATTACAGCAACAGCAAAAAAAAAAGCAAAATGAAACGCAGATTTCTAAACAGAAGTGAACAAAAATCAGGAAACAACAAGTAAAGACATTAGGGTTTGCCTTGGCAGCATTTGTACTTGAATTATAAGTCTGAGGTTATCATTTTTTTTGCTTTTCTGAACAAACCTATGGTTCATCCAGAAAGAAGAACTACTCAACATGGAGTAGAAAAACCACATAGAACATAGCTTCAACTGTTTGTATTAAAAATAAATTAAATAAATATTACAAATTCCATAGGTTTTTTTGTTTGTTTGTTTTGCTTTTTGTTTTTATTTTTTACATTACGAGTAAAATAGCATGCTGGAATAACCAAATCTTTGTTCAGAGAGTCAATCACTCTCTGGAGTATGATGAACAAATTAGTCAGTCAAATTTAGTATTTTCTCTGTGGAGGCTGTTAGATGGTCACCCATAAATGGTTAGTACAATAAATTATAGATTTTATGGAACACCGTAAAAATCTAAGATATTTCATCACTCCTAAAAATGTTATAAATGTAATGTTTAAAAAAAAATACAGTTTACAACCTGGTATTAATATATGCAATCTACGCATTACCTGAAGTGTTTAGAGATGTCACATAAGACAACAGGGGCTCATCCACACATGCAAGCACGTGCGCTTGCAGCAGCTCAAATATAAGCAGCGCAAATTTGAGCCGGGGCTTTTTGCCTCAGCACACATGCTTGGACATGCACTTTGTTGAGAAGCAAGTTGTGCCACTTGAGGCAAAATATCCCTGCCTGGTTCCACCCGGATCTGCAGCCAGGGGGAGCCAGACCTTGGGGCCAGCACCTGTGCTGTTCCCAGCAATATAAACAGCTGCCTTGTCCTGGCCCCTGAAGTACAAAAAGCTGACCTGGCAAGTAGCCAACCATGGAGATGCTCTGGCAGCCAGAGTGTCTCCATGGAGGAACCAGCCTTCAGTTGCCTCCTGTCCTGCTTTTTTAAACTTTGTTATTTTTAGACCCCTGGATATCCAGGGGTCTAATTTTCTCCCCGCACGTGTCTCTTGCCCCATCTCAAAGGGATTTCAGATGGGGCAAGAGGCACATGCACACTCATCTGGACTTGCCCTAGGGCCATTAAATATACAGCCTGCAGAACAACTGCATCCAGCCTACTGATAATACAGTGAACTGCCAAAGTGCCCCTTGACTCTGTACTGCTGCAGACCCCTGACACTGCCGACCAGCCAGAGCTCTGCACTACTGGGCAGCGTTATGGATCCAGGGGCATGCAGCTCCATGAACAGGGCTCCATAAAACCATGTTCTCAGCTCTGTGCCACTGCCCAGTGGCATAGAGCTCTGGCCGGTTGGCCATCCCAGGGCCATGTGGTAGGCAGGGGCCCAGGGATGTGCAGCTGTACAGAGCCACGTTCATGTAGGATGGAGCCAGGGACATGCATCCACAAGAAGCCAGAAGCATGACATGGAGATCTGGCTGAATGCAGCTCCATGCCACCACATGTCCCTGGCTCCATGACTGCCTGGCCAGAGCTCCATGTCCCCAGCTCCTTGCAGACACAAGCTCCCAGCTCCATGCTGCACAAAGGTGGCTCCATGCAGCCTAACACCTCCAGATCCACAGTACTGTCCAAGTGTGGCTTCATGGATCCAGGGCAGGGGGAGCCACTGAGGTCTGGATTCAGTCCAGGGCCTGGAGTGAGTTTGACACCCTGTTATAAAGAGTTCAGCTACAAGTACACAGATTTTTATATTCACTTTTAGAATTCATGTCCATAAATGTACAGTGAAATGATGTGCTTTTATATACCATTTATACCAGGACAACGAATTGTGATAGATAATTCTGATAAAACTAATATTTTAAACCTAAGTGCTTCTAGAAAACTTATTTTCAAAAACACTTACAAACTCAACAAAAAATTTTTTTAATAGTAATGTTTAGAAAAATTAGTAAGATAGGCTCCAATTCTCTTCATCACTTTCTTTTCAAATCCTACAAAGCAATTCTTTAAAAGAAAAGTTTCTTACCTTAGATTAACTGGAGTTCTTAGAGTGGTATTATCTTTACACATCTTCCAGTAAGGTTCCACATGCAACTCATAAGCTGCAAATGGCAGACTTCTGTAGCCAGTAGCTGGCTGGAATTCATTCATCCTACCACCCCTGATGCCTTTTTGGCAGCCGAATCACCGAACCCAAATCAAAACAGAAAGCTCCAAAACATCTCTGAAACTAAACAAAAGCATCCAAAAGGTTTTGGGAATGTTTCAGAGTTTCTGAGGCAAGCTTGCAGGCAAACAGAAACTAAGATGAACTTGGGGGTGGGGAGGAAGGACTGCTCTGATATTGACATCTGTAGCTGGTTAGTGACTATGGGAGGGAACTCAGGGAAAGACCAATCACAGTGCTCTAGGGGAGGGACAGAGAAACAACATATAAGGATCTGTGTCAAGCTCTCTCTCTGCCTTTTCTGTCAGCTGTCTCTCTCGCAGCATGAGCAGTACAGCACACAGCATCTGAAAGGTCTAGGCTTGCTTGGTAGCAGTAGGTACTGGTAGTCTCTTGCTACCAAGTTGTAGCCAATCCTTTCCCACTTACCCTTGTGGGAAAAGAGTGGCTACAACTTGCTCACCCCTTTCAACTAATTCCCTCCCCCAAATCCTTTCATTTGTTCTTCTTTCTTTTTCCCACTGTGAGGGAGAGAAGGAGCTCCTTGGCTCCCAGACTGAGCAGAGGGCCAGTGACCCCAGGTCTGCAGCCCCAAGGAGCCAGGCAGAAATCCCCCTTACCCAGGTGTGTGGAGGAGGGAGGGGCCGATACTTCCTTCGCCGGCATAAAAGAGAGGCCAGGACCGACAAGCTGGAGCAACGCGGAACCGGAAGGAGGACGTGGAGGAGGCGGAGCACGCCACCGCCGCACACTGCGAAGGATGCTACGAGCAACACTAAGTGCTGGTAGGAACCTCTGGCAAAGGGCAAAGCCCCAGCGAGGGTTTTGAACACAGTCTGGTGGCCCTTGCGGGGCACAGAACTGTTTATTTACCACCTGGGAGTGGCCGGAGCTTGGCCGGAGCTGGGTACCGTAAAGACCCTAATAGAAGGGCAAAATTGGACTCTGGGAACCGTAGTCCCTGTAATAGGGGTGCAGCTCAACAGTGAGCTTGAACTGTGACAAAGGGGAACTGATCAAGCCCTCCAAGGGGGCTCTTCGAAGGCCAAGAAGGGGGTTCGACCTCTCGGAGGGCAAGTGGGTATTGGAAGACGGCTGCAGATGGCTGGAGCAGCCACTCCGATCAAGGGAACCCTCTCGGTCATAGTGTTTGTTTTGATTTTTATTTTCCTTTTGTGGATCATCTGAGTGGACGTGTGGATATGTGGCCGGACCAGACAGTCAGCCACCAACCCGGTAGAACGGGCGAGGGTGTAAGGGTGCCAGAGCCCTCAGAAACTCGGGACCTACGGGACGCCGGTGAGACTCATAATTGGACTGCACTCGTTGGACATCTGAACCAACTCCATTAACATCAAAGTCGTGGCAGGAGAAGCAGACGCGTGTGACACCCCAGTTAAAGGTGAGGATACACTAGGCGACGTGCAGGCAGTGCCTGCACGGTCCACGGGCCTTGGTGATTACCCGACACCCACCACTGCTCTTTCCCTGGCAGTGTGTCATCCATCACTGAGCAGGAAAGCACAACACAAATTACACACACACTTTCCAGCACGCCAAACATGAAGTGTGCTGGAAAGGCAGGTGCCAGGTCTTCTGGAAGGGGAGTGAGACAGGGCAGAGGGAGAGCTGTAAGTTTCACCCCCTTTCCCCCCACCCCAAAACTCAGACGCACCCTCTTTCATACCAGGCATGAAGCTTCTGCTGCTAGTGGCAGCAAAGAGGTGGGGGCAGTGTCTGCACCTACACCACCTCTACTAACACCAGAAACAGCCACCAGCACCAACATGACAGTTTCCTCCACCCCAATTTCAGCTCCCAGCGTGAGCCTCCCAATGCCAGAAGAAGAGCTGTATCTGGAAGAAGGGGAGCTTAGTGACATAGCCAAGGAAATTCTGGGGAAGGAAGAGGAATCCAGGTTTGTGCTGCACACCCCTGAAAGTTCCCCTACTGCCTTCCAGAGAAGGAGACCTGGCGCTTTGGAGGAGGTTGAGGTTGTGGAGGCAAGTGGCTCAGCTGAGTCAGCTCATCCTGCTGTTGTGCCTCTGCCTGCTGAGGTGGGGGATAAGGCAGGATCCCCACCCGCATCCCAGAAGCAAGGGGGCAGTGTGGTGTGGGGTCGGGTCATGTTGAGCTGGCAAATGAACCCAGATGAGCTATCTGCCAGCACTGCCGAAGCAAGACCAGCTGGGGAAAGAAGGCAAAACACTTCAGCACTATGGATGCTGATGCATCTCAAGATCCACCACCCCCCTTGCTCCTCCTCAGGATGGCAGCAGTAGGAGCATGCCCAAAAGGAAGTCCCCCTCTCGCTCCAAAGCCCCCATCCCCCAGAAGCAGAGGCAGGCCACCCTGGACCACCAGTGGTAGAAAAGCGGACACAAAGGGGGGCATATTCCAAAGGCAAGCAAGGTCACCCAGAGCACTGGGGAGATGCTTGCTCTGGATGGCCAGCCATTCTCCTTAGTTGAGCGGCCAGGGTTCAGACAGCTCAGCTGTGTGGCCCCATCATACCACATGCCTGCCTGCACCACCTTCAGCAGGACGGTGGTGTCATTCCTGTATAAGGCATGCAGGGAGAACTTGAGGGAGGAGCAACACAAGGCAGATCCACAGGTGGCCTTGCACATCACCTCAGACATCTGGAGTAGCCAGGCTGAAGATCATGCCTACCTCCCCCTCACAGGACACTGGTGCGAACAGTCAGGCCATTGGTGGGCTCTCCTTTAAGTGGAAGCGACAGCTGAATCCTACACAGCAACAGAGATGATGGGGGCCATAAACCGCATTGTGCAGGGGTGGCTTTTTGGGCAGGGCAAGCTCACCCACGGGTTCAGTCACCGACAACAGGGCCAATATGGTCAAGGCAGTCCGTGATGCCAACTTCATTGGCATCCGCTGTGTGGCACACAAGTTCCACCTTATAGTCAGGGACATCTTGGAGGGGGAAAGGGCTGCCAGTGATGGTGCCATCACTACCACCAAGCTCTTTTCAAAATGCAGGAAGGTGGTGGGCTACTTCCACGGCAGCATTAAGGGGAGCAAGATGATGCGGGACAAAAAAGCAGAGCTGAGCAACCCACAGTACAAAATCATTCAGGATGCGGAGACTTGGTGGAACTCCACACACCCGATGCTCATAAGGCTGGTTGAGCAACAAAAGACCATCCAACAGATGGCCTTGCTTGGGGAGACTGGGATCAGCAGCCCCCTTAACAAAGCTGAGTAGAATACCATCTCCCAGATCTTGGTGGTCCTCAAACCATTCCTCAAGGCCATCAAGATCCTCAACGCAGGTGATCCCCATAGTGAGGGAACTGGAGAACCAAATGGAGAAGTTCCAGGGGATCGATGTTCCTGGCTGGGGCAAACTGCTGTCACCCGCGGTACAGGCACTGGTGAAGCGGCTGAGGGAGGGCATCAAGGAACAGCTGGATTCATTGCAGTCCAGACGGTCCACATGCTGGTGGGCATGTGCAACCCAAGTGAAGGGGAGCATCTGCAGCAGCAAAACCCTTGATCACTGAATGGAGATGCTCGTGAACAGAGTCAGGGAGGTAGGAGGGCAGAGGCAGGGAAACACAGAAGAAGGGGATCCACTTTCCCGTGCCAGAACTCCATCCATCAGCCAGTCTCCTCCACTACAGGTGTTGCCAACGTGGGCCAAGGGCATGGCTTCCATTTGGGGTCCAGCGGTACGAGACCCCAGCATCGGGGAGGTAGTGCTGAGTCCTTGGTGGCTACCTATCTTGCAGAGGACATGGAGCCGCTTGACCTATTGGGCAAGCCACAGCCACATGTGGCAGGATTTGGCCACAGTTGCCTAGCAACACCTGTCCTGTCCACTGACCAGAATTCCAAGCAAGAGGGTATTCAGCGTTGCTGAGGATGTTGTGACACCCCACTGCACCTCCTTGGATCCTGACTTGGTAGAGCAGCTGGTGTTCCTGAAGGTGAACCTCCCACTGCTGGGGCTCCCCAAGCTCTACATGCAGACGGAGTGCTGCCCCCTCCTCACTCCGTTCACTCCTATTTTCTTTTTTTATTTGGTTTGGTTTCACAACCATTTAGTGCCCCGCTGTCAGAGCTGGAGGCGGCATTCACTGTATGACCAGCCAGCAGAGGAAGAACATCTCCTTGCTGAGCTCCCATGCCAGGATGAACTTGAAAGTATGGGCTGGGGCTATAGGGAAGGAGGGGGTCCCAGGCATGACCTAAAACTGCACCCTGTCAGGGTTGGGAGGCCTGGTGGGACTGCTGGTGGTGCAGCAGCCCCCAGGAAATGCCAGGACCACAAGTCTCACTGGTGAAAGACAGAGAGGAAGTGCCTGAGAACCTCCAGCCACCACAAGCATGAATAGTCCTGGCTAGGGAAAGCCCAGACCTGTAAGATCTTTGAGAGGCCTGAGGCTTGCCAATTGCAGTGGAGTTGTAAGGCTCCAGGTGGGCTTAGCTGCCTGCAATGCCATCTACAAGGCATGGGCTGCAGTGTATGGAAGGTATGGAGCTGCAGAACAGATCTCACCCCTAGACTTCAGGGGCTTAAATGGGCAGCCTCCCACCTGGGTAACATATGAATTGGTTTTCCATCAAGGCACGGTAGATGAAAGAGGGGCAGGTGGTTGGCCCAGAAACAGATGGGCGAGCCATGATATAACCAGCATGAGGAAGGCCCCCTGTTACAGGCTACCATCCCTGCTACACTCAACCCGCTCTGCCTTAACACACATGGCAGACAAGGTTCTTTGGGTCAATCTGATATCTTTTAGTAGACCAACTGAATAGTTGGAGAAATATATCTTAGCAAGCTTTCCAGTTTAAAAAGCCTTCATCAGGCTGAGGAAGCATCTGCAGTTGGTGTGTGTGCTCTTCCTGGATGGAAGGAATAGTAAAGAAGCCAGATGCTGGAATGCAGGCAAGCAAGCCAGTCAGTGAAAATGTAAATTGAGGCATCAAGGGGTGAGAGACAGGCTGGGGGGGGGGAGGGGGAGATGTAGCAAGTAAAAGTGGAGAGGTGCCTGAGGAGTCAAATGTCAGGCAGGTTATAGTGTGTCATAAATCCAATGTCTATATTGAGTCCATGAGTTTCTGTATCTATGAGGTAGATTAAGTGAAGTTCATAGACCCATCTGTGAAAAGTCCCTTTGAAGATCAGGACAGAGATTGGAGAGAAAGTGGTTTTCTTGTGAGAAATGTGCCCCCACAGGTAATTGGGTATTCTTGTCTGTATTGGTTTCTGGTGAGCATTCATTCTGGTGTGCAGTTGCTACTGGGTGTCTCCTACGTATTTTCCATCAGGGCACTTGGTGCGCTGGATGAGATGTATAACGTTTCTGGAGGTACAGTTGTAAGATCCAGGAATGGTGATGGTCCTGTTGCGGGATGTAGTAACTGTGGGGATACTGGAGATACATTCGCAGGTTTTTGCATTTCTTGTCATGGCATGGTCTGGGTCCATTCGGTGTGTTTTGGGCTGTAGGAAGCTAGCTTCTGTTGATGAGGTTAGTGAGGTTCAGTGCTTGTTTGAATTTACA